AATTAATAACTATATCGTGATATATATTGTTACCGTGAAATAAAATCACTCATACCGTAAAATAGAATTTTGGTCATACCGCCCACCCCTACACCTGCCCAACCTAATGGAGCCTACTGCTGTTCTGTCTTCCCAAAAGAAATACAAATGAAGTCATACTTGAGCAGAACGTCTCAGTCACGATTGAGTTAAGATCCTGCCGACTACGCCAAATGTGGTGAGGGGTTAAGGAGCAAGGAGAGAGAGATGCTAACTAAGATAAGCAACCCGGGAGTTCACATTAATAAAACTCTAATAAGACTTACAATGTAGCCAACTACGCCACCTCAGTACTTTCAACCAAGGATATGTAATACTCAAACACAGGTTCATTCTTCCAAGGAGGACTGAGACAGTTCTGACAATTAAAAGCAATTTATTACATAAGATCTTTTTACATTAAGAAACAACACATTCACTAATAAATACCTTTCAGACATTTATCTCTTAATTACCCACAGATGTTAACACAGAAAAGGTATTTTAAATAAATAAAACAAAGAAAAACAAATAAATAAATACATACTGGGGGTTAATCAAAAGCCGCTTTCCGACCGGAGGGACTTTTGCGGTTCCTAGAACCTAACGTTCCTATAACCTTTTTTTTCGCGTGTTCCGACCGGACTAAGTTGGGGATTTTTTAGTTCCTCAGACCGTAGTTCCTATAACTCTTTCAGTACCTAGTCTAGAGCGAGGACTTTTTTAGTTCCCTTTCCCTAGGTCTACGTTGATTGGTTCAACTTATGAGTCACGCCCAGTGTCAACACATTTTATTCACTGTCTGTTGCAATTCGCCTATGTATGCTATGCTAACTCATAACATAACACATTCAACCAGCTAATTGCTATGCTTGCTAAACTAACCCGTCGTTTTGTTTGTCTCCTGCGCTCTGCTCTTCTATCTTCTTCCATTATCTTACTTAAGATCATATTACGCTGGAGCCTTCGTCTTCTTTGTTTCTCTGTACAGAACTCAAGCATAGTCTTTAAATGCCGCCGTTCGTACTCGTTATTAAGCTCCCGGCAAGGCAGAACAGGAACATTCCGATAGCCTCCTCCATGCTGGTTTGTTGTTGTTGTATGTGGCGCCGCCGCCGTGCTTGCGTCACTCCCTTACCCCTCCTACCAGTTCCTATGGCCACTTGGCCAGTGCGAACGCAAACAGCAAAACCGAGTTTGGGGGAGAGTAGTTCTTAGAACTGTTTAGAAGTGGACAGTTCCTATAACTAAGTTCCTGTAACTACTTGGTCGGAAAGCGGCTAACGACACGAACAGGAAAAGGAATCCCTGACCCACCTTGTAACTACTCATTAGACTGCACCCACACGCTAGTGACCCTCACTACAAATGCAATGAAGCAAATCCACACTCAAGTGTGTTAAACTCCACATCCCAAAAGCGGGTGGGCCAAATAGCCTTTCACAAATGTCTCAGAAAGAACCCACAGCACTTAAATTACAGGTTCCCTAAAAGAATACTCACAACACACAGCATATTTATACAGAAGACAAAAGCAGCAATGCATTTACAATAAAGACAAAACAGCAGCGTAGTCTGGGTCCGTGCGTCCTGCTGATTACACAGCTCCGAGCTGGAAGCATGCCGTTAAACATGACCCCCAACCTTCACACACTTACAGCAGTGAGATTTAAGCACCTTTCAACGCATAAGAGAATCCCCGAAAAGAGATCATACTCACTGCGTCAGGACAACATATATAAAACCACTGCGTGCTGCCACATGCTCTCACTGCACTGCAACAACTGTAGAACAGGCTTTAGGTTACACTCCGATATTACCCAGAAAATTAAATCACATGCCACTTTACACTCATCCACATACCAGAGATTGGAGAAATAAGTAACCCAAACTACACGACTCCATCAGGGAAAGGCATAAAATGGAAACCTAGACATGGCTAAACACAAGCTCAACTACCCGTGCACCTTGCTTTTATTATAAGTGTAATCATGGTGTAATCATGATAATGATTAACCAGCCGGTATCTGACACAGCTGAATCCATGGGGAAATTATTCCCATACTCCACCAGGGGGAGTAATGGAGGAAAATCCCCAATTTGCTACACTTACTTGACAACATCAGTTCATATATCAATATCGTAACAAATAGAAATAACCTTAAACAATGTATGGTTATCTGCATCTTTCCGTCTATAGTTTACTTTTTAAACATGAAAATCGCATTCAGATGAACAACCTGCTTGTTAAAGCGAATGTATAACGTTAATCCTGTATCTGAGGCAACATTACTAAATTTGCAGCGCGAGTTATATATTTCTAACTCCAAACAATTAGCCACTGAACCAGCTGATAAAATCTTCTTCAAGGCTGTGCTGGATGCATTTGAGGTAACCGGTCATGGGGTTTCTCAGATTTCGCTTGAGACCGGGATAAGCATTCGCCTCGATAGTAGTCGTGTTTCCTTCATTGCGTATTTTTATATTTTGAATATATCCCTCCACTGCATACTGTAACCCCTTTTGCCTCGATCTGGAGGATATCGCGGAGGTATTGCTCCAAAAAAGGTCACTGACACGCATGGGTATACCTCTTCCCGTCATGGCAATCTGTCGCGCTGGTCGTGTTTGACCATTTGTTTGACGGGCGTAGTACCAATAACTAGGGGGCGTGGCTTTTGCGAACGGTCAATAGGTTGGTTTCACGTGACGTCACGCTGCTGCATCGCGAGAGCGCGAAAATTCAGATGGAGGGCAGGAAGTGAAATAGCTGAGGATCTGCCATCAATGTTTTGTGTAGTTTACGGCGGCTCCAACCGTTCTAATCGAGAAAAGGGAAAGGGTTTTTATAGAGTACCAAAGATTGTCATTCATAAAGGTGAGAAATGTAAAAAGCTCACAGAACAACGCCGTAAAAAGTGGATTTTTAACGTAACGTTACGTCTGCGATTTGGGAGGAGCAGAGTCTGTTAATGCCGTGTCTCTGTAGCGACGGTATGTTAGCTAGCCAACGTGTTTTTTTGTGTCTGTGTTTATATAGCATTAGGTTGTCGTTCAGGGGATCAGTGGGAATGGGACATTAAATGATCAAGGTAAATTAGACTCAATACGGACTCTCCGCAACGGTTTCCTCCATAGACGTATTCTCCATGTTTACTCCCTGCCCTCCATTTGAAATCGCCCCGCCTTCCCGCGTCATCAAAATCGTCATCATAATCACGTGACTGAAACCCAGCTATTGCCTATTGAAATATGCATGCAATATGTTGCATTTATTTGTTAACCCTCTGGGGTTCTTCGGGTCAAAAATGACCCGAAGCGTTTAAATAAAAAAATGTTAAAAATCGTAGCTTCATCGGAATGGTCCAAAACTTGGTGACTTTTTTGGTACTTGGTATATGAACACCCAAAAAAATTGGGGAAAGGATTTTAAAAGTCTAAGTGGGCGTAAAAAAAATAGTCACACTCAGGATCTTCGGGTCAAAAATGACCCCCATAGGAAATGAATGGGAAATTGGCAAAAATGTGAAAATACAGAGTTTTTTTGTGCATACAATCTACAAAACAGCCAGGATGCAGAAAAAAAGCACACAACAGTGAAGGGGTGAATCTCTTAAAACAATGGGTGACAATTTGTTTTCCATTTGTTCTCTTTATAATGCAATGTTCAGGTTTGACTGTATTATAAAGTAAAACTGCCACTTAAAATTACCATTTAAACCAACCAACCAACCAAAAAAAAAAAAAATTAAAAAAAAAAAAGACAAATATAGTCTTTGAGAATCTGTTATTATATATTCAAATCAAAAACCTGAAAAAATTAAACAATATGTGAAAAAACCACTAGAGTGTTTCTACCATAGGTTTCTACAGAGAGCTGTAAATCCACTAGTGGTAAAAATGTGCTATTGCGTGATAAAAATGCTCATGTCCACCAGATGGCTCCGATCTCATTTCAAAAATTGCTTTCATGAGGTCTAGACTTGACTCTAAAATGAAATACAGCTTTAATAAAAAAAATTTTTTAATTATATATATATATAAATTTTCTATTATATTCAATGGGAAAAAATGGGTCTTAATTATTGCATAAATATTAATTATAAATTATAAAATTATCTCAAAACACCAAAAAAGAAAAGAAAAAATATTATTGAACAAAAATATATTTCATTGATTTTACTCAAATAAAATGTATCTTAATGCCGCCCTCCGGGTCATTTTTGACCCGAAGGTCCTGAGTGTGAGTCTAAAATGAGGAACCCCAGAGGGTTAAACAAAGTTGAATACGTGTTTGTAATACAGCGACTGTTTTAGAAATCTGTATTGACAGTTGTATCACATATGTAATAGTAATGTTTCATGCTAATATGTGATATTTGCTTGTAGGGGATATCTTTGATTTATAACCGTATACTTTAAAGTTTATTATCTTAAGCTGATGTTACAATGTTTGGAGTAATGTATTTGGTGATGTAAACATTACTGGATATTAATTGTGAATTGTTTTGTGTTTACAGTTTGACCACACACACATAAATGTGCACATAAATACTTCCAACTACAACTAAATTACAACAAAAAACTTAATGTATACATTGTGAGTTCTGCACAAGAGGAATAAAAGACAGAAAACAAGATCCAAGTTAATGTTATCATTTTAGAGGTAACAATATATTTTATTAGGTCAGGTGTAAGATTTTGTAGCCTCGTTAACCGCAATGTTAAACCAAATGTACTATCACACACTAATGACAGCTCTTCTTTAGATGAAAGGTGATAAGGTGGTCTATAGGCACAGCTCAAAGCCTCAGAGCTCTGATCATATGCTCGATTGAGACGCTAGTTGACACTCTTCATGCGCAACATGTGTAAGTTAACTTCCTTTTGAATTTATATCACATTGTCAGTAATTGAGTATTGCATGCATATTTATTTAAACAGGCCCACTCATGGTTTTCTCTGTAGGTGAAGCGGTTGAAGTAAAATGTGACTCAATCTTTTATAATACACAAGAAGATAATGGCTTCATTCTTCGTGTTGAAAAATCAACAGAACCCTTACATTATCAATGTACATGGATTAACCAAACCAATAGTGGATTAAGACTTCTTTTAAAAGGTAAGAACTACTGCAATGAGTACTACTAAAATTGCACATAAAGCTGTTTTGTATTAAGCATATTAAGCGAAAAGAAAAGAGCCTCATGTACAGTACTAGATAATACATCCAAAGAATACACCATGCAACACACATTATTAAAAAGTACTTTTACATAAGTTGTATATTTTTAAAGTGATGTTATTTTTCAAAAATCGCTTATGTTCAGACTTTAATTTGACAATAATAATAATGATATTCAACATTGGTTTAATATTCACTTGTTTTTGGTCATTATTTTATTGATATGCAAGCATTTTTTTTTTCACTATTTACCTGACCAAAATGTTTCCCGCATGTTTTAGAAAATCAAGGTCAAAACTGGTCTTACCATGCGGTGTTTGTCTTCAATACACTCATTTTGCTCTTGAGTGGAATAGTCAACATATTTCTATGTAAAAGACTGAGAAGAAAGAGTGAATTGCATGCAGGTAAATTTCCACATTGTAATGACATGTTGTGGTCAGTATTTCTTGTTTTATTCCCATTATTTTCATTGTTTTACTTTCCCAGCACAACTATATAGCAAGTTTCAATATGTTTCAGGAGTTTCTGACCCATCTCCACCAGACACATCACCCTCTGATGCCAGTTCTTCTCTTGTAAGTCAGAAGTTTTATGACTGTAGCATTTACATTAATGCTTTGGGAAGACACTTTATCTAATGCATTGCATTCAAGGTATACATTTGATCAGTTCCTGCATCCTCTGGAAATTGAACCCATGACCTTATAGTGCTGCTAACGCAATGAACTGTTTGAGAAACAGGAACGCAGCATATGCAGTTGCTGTGCTACAATGCTTTCCCTTTTTCTCTCCTCACAGAATCGAGTTAGTCTAGACCTGAACTACACAACCCTGGAATTTCCTGAAGACGACACAAGTAGAGAGAGCTCAGCGATTGAGCGAAGAAAGACAAGAAGGAATGCAATCTACTCCAGCCTTAAATGCCATGTGCCGAACATCACTGAAGAGAGCTGAGCCATTACTTATCCTTCTCATTTTGTTTTCAAGTGATAAATGCAGCACAGTTGTTTAAAACCTATAAAGACATTTTGGGGTTACAGCACTATTTTTAATAACTACAGATTTAAATAAATAATTAAATATCTTATCATTGTTATATACATTATATACACATTACAGACACATCTTTATCCCTGCAATATGTATTTTCATGCTTTCAATATACTTTGTGACATTATTATTAAAATTGCATTTCTGTTTTAGGCCAACTTAGGCCCTGATCAATATTTAATAAAAATCGAAGTTAACATGCATGTAACTTAAGAATATGCTCAGATATGAATTCAGGAACATTATAAACAAATGTTTGTATTTTTGTGATAATATAAATAAAGTGAATGGAGTATGATCATTATTCAAACAGGAAAACAAGAGTTTATAAAGGCCAGACTTACAAATGCCGTCTTCATTTTTACATTTAGTTTTAAAGTTGTGGTGGCCTGTTTTTTTTGTTGTTTTTTTTGTTTTTTTGTTCTTTATTGATAAGCTACAACATATAACCTTGAGCAAACTTTAAAAAATAGGCCACTTAGTTTTCCATCCTGTCTCTGAAACCACGTATATGTCTGTCTTAGTATTTGGTTCTTGTGGTCAAGAAAAAAAGGGTCTCTACAGCTCATTAGATATGTATGCATTTTTGCCTCTGACCCCATTGCAAGACAGAAGAAAGCAAACATGGAAAATATACCATCAGAAATACTGGTTACCTTTCAATCATCATCATTATTATTTCTGAACCCTTTAGCTTTGAGATATTGTAACAATTTGTATATTATGAAATGTTGTGCCTTGTTTAAAAGAACCAACACGATCTCCTGGTACTGAATAGCACAAGTTCATGCTTTTTTTTGGTGTGCTCTTCATGTGCAAATCTAATCATTTACATGCATCTGGTATGCAAAATTTACTTGTTGGGTAGAATTGGTTGCGTAAGTATAGTGCATATCATATGCACGCAAAAAATTGCATATCAAAAGTGCATATCGGATGCATGTAAAAGGTCATTTCTGCGTATAAAAAGCACTCAAAATGAAAGCATAAAACTTGTGCTATAGATACGCAGTACCAGGAGATTGGACTCAAAATAACATATCAGTTTTATTAAATATTGATCAGAGCCTATTTGACACCTCTTAAAAATGTATGGTGAGTAAAGTAAAATGAGTCCTAAAACCTAAAATGTTAACCTTTTAGCTTTTATTTTAATGGGTTATTGAATTTACATTATTAGCATATGTCTTTTTTTCTTTTGTACAATTTAAGGTGAATGATGTAAATTAGTTTAGCATGTATTAACACAATAGAATAAAAAGGTACAGCTGATGTCATTAGCAAATGTATACTTAAAGGGATACTTCACGATTTAGCATTAAGCTTTGTATTAGTAGAAAACCTGTAGTATTTTCGAATTACTATGCTTTCCACCCTCATATCCCCCTGAGACGAAAGATTTGTGTATTTTTTGTCTGGAAAAAAATCCTCCGATGACGCAAAAATCTTCATTTTGCGTCATTGGAGGATTTTTTGGCCAGAGGCTAAAGACTACAGTCAGTAGTAGGGGCTGTCCCGCATGTTTTCAACCCGCCCATAGAGGGTGGGATCTCACTCACAGAATGTACACATAGTGTCGGCCATCTTTTTTTGGAAGCTAAGCTAGCAGGCTCTTGTTCTGTGGAGAAAGCTGAGTAGTAGGGGTTACCATCCTCTTTTTCCCGCACATGTCCGGCCGTCGATGTCCGGGATTCGGCTTTTGCTTTCTGCAGTCGCCATTCATTGTTTACATGCACACCTTTTGTTTCAATCTAACTGAATTCATTCCAAGTGAATCTGAATGTATAGTGTTTACATGAACGCTAAACAAGTGATCGGTTGATGTGCGTTTTAACATTGCTAAGAAAATTCCCGCTCCTCCGTGAGAGATACGAGATCGGTGCGTCTCACAGGTGTCGGCCGCTCATCGGTAATCACGCCACCGGCCTCGCGCCGTTGTCCCGCGGCCCTAGCCTCGTCCTGTTGCCACAGTAAACATAATGAATGGCGACTGTAGAACGCAAAAGCCGAATCCCGGACATTTTGGGCGATCTCGAAACACATTTTCGGGCAGACTCATCACGGAGACTCACTAGTAGCCTAGACTTGTTGTTTAACTAACTACTGCGTTCTGTTACCGGTAGGCGTGGCCTCCTAGGGCAGCGAAGCAAGTGCATTCTGGGAGTTGTTGTCTTTCATCCACATAAGCCAAAAATACATTTTCTGTCTTTTCTCGGTCTAGAAAGCTCCAAATTCAAAAATAATTTCACATTTCTTCTACATAAATGACCCATTTTAAATACACATTCATCTTTCCAGAGGTGAAGTATCCCTTTAATGTAGCTTCTCTCATCCATGCCTTAATAGGAATCAGGGGTGTATCTTTGAGGTGGTGGAGGGGTTGGGCTGCCGCTGTTGGTTAACCAATGAAAGGCAACTCTGCCATCTGACAACGTCTACCATTCAGCCCACACAATTTTTTTTTAGGTGGTCAGTGCCTCTTATTCTTCAAAATGAGCCAATGCAGAGAAAATATGCATGCTGTCAGTGAAATCATCCTTGCTTTTTGTGGTAGGCAAAAATAAACTTCTTCTAAAATATATTGTTAATACATGGACTTTGATTTTAAGACTTCTTGTTCACTTTTTTTTTTATTTCAGGTTACTTCACAGCCCATGTTATTATCCAGCTAAAACCAGTGCAAAAAGCAAAAATTGAAGACAGTGTAACAATGAAATGTTATTTTCTCCAAAAAAAAAAAGAAGATTTTATCCTCATTGTGTGGTACAAGCAGCTATTAGGAAAGGATTTGATGATGGACGCCTCAGTGTGACTGTTGGAAATGGAACTTATAATCTGTACATTTTCCAAATGACACAAGAGAATGTTATTATTGTGGAGTGATTAAGACTGCGCTGTATTTCAGTCCTGGAACACTTCTGATGATCAGGGACGTGCACAGGGGGTTGCTCAGGTTGCCCGGGCAACTGCCCATATGCCCTTCTTGACTCAGGTTGCCCTTCCGAGAAAAAAAAAAAAAAAAAAATGGTACAATGGATGCAGAATTTCACGTAGGCCTATATTAAAAAAATAATTAAAAAAAATAAAATCGCAAAGCCTCATTCACTTCCATTCGGGCACCGAAAGTGAAAGTCAGTAAGGGAAGGGCAAACTGTTTACATGGCTGTAGCGCTGCACGCGACCATAGACTGCACGCGACCGGCGTAGGGCCACGCAAATTACTTAAGGCCCCGCCTCCATCTCGTGTCATAGCGCGTCAATTAATGTGTACAACATCCATGACAAAATGAAGCGAAACTATCCTTCTGGTCACGAAAAGAGGAAGAAGAAAAAAACCATGAGAGTGAATTGCGGGAACAACAATCAGGTAAACTTGTGTTCTCTCCTAAGTTTGATGTTAGCAAAGTTTGATGTTTTTCGGTCTTGCTAACCTAGCTGGGCAGGCAGTGCATCTCTTGCATCACTTTGTGCCTGACAAAAGTGAGAGTAAAATACAATTATTTATTACGTTTGTTTTTGATAAACGACAAAGTGCAACGGTGTTTGTTTACTGCAGCTCGGAAAACATAACCGCGTCGCGTGTGTTATCGTGCGTTCAAATGCGCGTGCATGAAATGAAACGCGCATTTTTCAAGCAGAAATATGTGGAGACCAGACATACTGTACAATATATGCACGTGAATGATGGCACTCCCAATCAAAGTACACATTATACTTTTAAAACAAGACACTGATTAGTCTCAGTGTTAAAAACTCTAAACAACTGCACTAATTATGCAAGATAGAAAGCAATGTATTGACAATTTGACATTGATTGACTATTGATTTATAGGCTATATTGAATTTAAAATGTTGATTAGCTGGACTGGTCAATATGGATGCACATCCCTCAGTAAATAATAACCATAAATCAAGAATGGCTTCAACATGCATAATAAAAAAAAAAAATCATACTGATGCCGAAAATGCCCAGGCTGTAGAGAGAACCAAAGTTAATCCCAAAAGCCAAAGCTCAGGGTTATAATTTATTATTTTCTTCTTATTTATGTTTACGTTAATATTCACTTACTTAATAATATTCACTTGTTATCTTAACATTCTATAGAAAATACTCTATTCAATAAATATTGTTTGTTGGAACTTCATTCTGTTCTTTGTTGTTCTTATTCTTTGACTGTTTTGTTTAAAGGAGGGAGGATTGTATTGGGAGCACTGAAGTGTCAGGTGTGACTGTGGCAATGGCAAATGGTTTACAAAGCTCATGACATCACGGGTCAGGTAGAGGGCCCCTTAGCAGAATTTTGCTTAGGGCCCCAGGGAGGTCAGGATCGGCACTGGGTTTAGCAGTCGATTCTGTTCCCTACCGGAATTCCTGTTCCCTTTACGCAATCATACTACAAATCATGCGTAGTTGCCCAGTTACCATACGCACCATCAGAACTGAATTCGAGCAAAAAGCACAATTGAATGTACGGGAAGCCAAAAGGTTAAAAAAGGATTGTATTTTTTCCCGAAATCTAAGCGTTTTTTTTTTTTTTTATTAAAAGCGAGTTTTTCCCCATCTGTCAATTCAATCCAGATTATTTATTTTCAAATTAAAAAATAAATAAATAATAATAATTAAAAAAGACAATAAACAATAATATGAGGAACTCTTTTTCCCATGTGTATTTTGGTGACATTTAACATATTGTTAATACATTTTGTATACTGTTTACAAAGTTGTATATCATAAACCTGTCATCTCTGACGTTTTGCAATCTTTATAAATAATAATAAGACCATAATATGAGGCATTGCGTTTGGACATAAACACGATCAGATAAGGCAATTTGTATGGGCAAAATTCAATTTAATATATTCCTTCATATAGCCCGTGAGTTTTTTTTTTTGGGGGGGGGGGTGGGGGTGGGGGGGTTGTGCCTCTTTTTCAGGTCAGAGCAACTGCCCCACAAAATTCCTGTGCACGTCCCTGCTGATGATAACAGGTAAGTA